TGCTGTATTAGTGGTTAAGAGATACAACCAAGGAAAATCATGAAATAAGATAATAAACCCCAAGCTGGCATGGTGGCTCATGCCTGTAATCCCAGCACTGTGGGAGGCCAAGGTGGGGGGATGCTTGAGCCCAAGAGTTTGAGACTAGCCTGGGCAACATGATGAAACCCTGTCTCTACTAAAAATACAAAAAATTAGCCAAACTTAGTGGCATGCACTAGTAGTCCCACCTAATCAGGAGGCTGGGCGGGGAGGACTGCCTCAGCATCGGAGACAGACCTTAACAAACACATCAAGATTGCAATGAGCCGAGACTGCACCACTGCACTCCAGCCTAGGCAACAGATCAAGACCCTGTTTCCAAAAAAAAAAAGAAAAAAAAAAAGGTGGGGATAATAAGGCCCAAATCAATAAATGTAGAAAGGGTGGCTTAGCACTTTGGGAGGACAAGATAGGAAGACTAGTTGAAGCCAGGAGTTTTGAGACTAGCCTGGGCAACATAATGAGATCCTGTCCCTACAAAAAATTTAAAAATTAGTGGGGTATACTGGCCACACACCTATAGTACCAACTACTCTGGAAGCTGAAGTGGAAAGATTGCTTGAGCCCAGGAGGTAGAGGCACAGCGAAGTGATTATATCACTGCACTCCAACATGGGCAATAGAATGAGACCCCATCTCAAAAATAAAAAATAAAAATAAAAATAAAAAGATAGAAAGGTGCAGAGGAAGGTCCAAGTTACCAGCTCTGAAACCACCTTTCAAAATGAGTGACTCTGCAGCATAGTTTGATCTGGAAACAACCAGTGAACAAAGTTGAGAACACTGTAACACTGAAAATGCCAAACCTTTAAAATTTGGCTTCTTAGTCTGCAGTTACATGGTAAATTTTATGATTCATAATTATCATTAATATGAAAGGTAGTTTTATGAGGGGCACTATTAGTATTTTAATATAGCATGAGGACCTACCTTAAATGTTCATACTTCCATACACCTTCATCTTGGCCTTCAGGTGGTTCAAGAATTTTGTCAATATTGGAGCAATCGGCTCTTATATTCTGTTGAATATACTAAAAACAAAGAAGTTCTTATGGTTAATTAAATTATACCACCTGGTAAATCTTATGTTAAGTACATATAATTTTTGAATACATAACTGTTCTTGTGGTTCAACTTGTGTTATACACTAAATAGGAAACCAGGTATAGAATCAAAATCAGTAACTCAGAAAAGTAAGTAAGGATACCCTTACTTACTTACCCTTCAACTTCATTTGAATAGAATCTACTACATAAATGTAGATATTGTATTTATCAGGACTGGAACTGAGATCAAAATTGCAAACCATAATTTCTTTTTTTTTTTTTTTTTTTTTGAAACAGTCTCACTGTGTCACCAAGGCTTGAGTACAGTGGCACAATCACAGCTCACTGTAATATCTGCCTCCTGGGCTCAAGCAATCCTCCCACCTCAGCCTCCCGAGGAGCTGGGACTACAGGCACATGCCATGACACCCAGCTAACTTTTCTATATTTTGCAGAGACAGGGTTTCACCATGGGCAATGTAAATATAACTAGGTCATATTTACACATATAATGTGAGAATTTGTATGGTATGTTCATTAGATCCAATAAAAGTTGTTTTAAATGACTAACAGAATAAAACTAAGTTTAAAAAAAAGAAGGCAAGGGAGGGTCACTCTCAATTTTTAAAATGTAGTTACATAAAAATTTAAATATTGTGATTCCATTTACATGAAGTGTCTAGAACAAGGAAATCTATTGAGGCAGAAAATAGATTTGTACTGGCACAGGGCTTGAGGGCAGAGAGGAGGGCAGAGAGGAAGGCAGAGGAGAATGAAGATGGCTGCTAACGGGGACGAGGTTTCCTTTTAGGAGGGATAAAAATGTTCTAAAATAAGACTGGTATGACTGTGCAACTGTGAATATAATCACTCTAACAGTATGGGGATTTGTATGGTATCTTCATTAGATCCAATAAAAGTTGTTTTAAATGACTAACAGAAAAAGCTAAGTTTAAAAAAAAGTAGGCAACGGAGGGTCACTTTGAATTTTTAAAATGTAGTAACATAAAAATTTAAATTTCAGATCTGTTTGATGCTTTTGATTTTGACATTCTGAAATCTGAATAGGTTAGAGTAGATTAAAAGGCATGATTACAAAAACTTACTAACCATAAGGCTTTCTTGAGCTAATCAATTTTGCCTACTTCAGATAATCTTTCTTATCAGTAGCTTACTCAAAAACTTTTTTTTCCCAAACAAAAGGTCTCACATATTTAATACTGGACCAGCCTACTGCAAAGCGTAGAAACCAAAATGAAACCATTGTTCCAAGACAACACGTCCAACTGTATGGTGACATGATAGTGACCTTGATATAATATTAAATATGTGTGCCATATCACGTACAATTCCTTCTAGACCCAGCTTGATTCTTTTCCAATGTCTCCTCTTAGAGTTGTACCTGATTTTATTATTCAGTTTTCATCTGAATCCATTGGGAAATGGGATGATTTTCCTTTTGCTTCTTGGTGGGGAATCACTTTATTCTAAAAGTCTTGTGGAAAGACATGGCAAAAAACAGTCACATACACACACCACGATGACAGGGAAAGGGATCAAACACTTTTTTTTGAGACGGAGTTTCGCTCTTATTGCCCAGGCTGAAGTGCAATGGCGCAGCCTTGGCTCACTGCAACCTCCACCTCCTGGTTTAAGCGATTCTTCTGCCTCAGCCTCCTGAGTAGATGTAACTATAGGCATCCGCCACCACGCCCACTAATTTTTGTATTTTTTTGTAGAGACAGGGTTTCGCCATGTTGGTAAGGCTGACCTCAGCTGATCCACCTGCCTTGCCTCCCAAAGTTCTGGGATTACAGGTGTGAGCCACCACGCCCCAGCCTCAAACTCTTTTTAATGACTCTTAAATTACTATTTAAACCACTCTCTCTGACTTTTTTATCTCATCCTAATGTTTCAAAGTTTTGATTCCCTCTCCTTGAGGAGATACGACTAGGCCACCTTAAATTCCACAATTCTGTCCAAATCTCCCGTTCTCTCCCAATACACTCTAGCATTCCCTGATTATTTTAGTCCTCACAGAACTCTATCCAATTTCCTGCCACATTTGTAATTTGTATAATCTAAATTAGCAATCTGCCTATTCATTTTTGTATTTCCTGTTCCCACTATACCTTCTATGGACAGAACTTTTTTGTTGTTTTTGAGACAGAGTCTCGCTCTGTTGCCCAGACTGGAGTGTAGTGGTGCAATCTCAGCTCACTACAACCTCCACCTTCCAGGTTCAAGCGATCCTACCACCTAGCCTTCCGAATGGCTAGGACTACAGGCATGCATCATCATGCCCAGCTAATTTTTATATTTTTAGTAGAGACACGGTTTCACCATGTTGGTCAGGCTGGTCTTGAAACCCTGACCTCAAGTGATCCGCCTGCCATGGCCTCCCAAAGTGCTGGGATTACAGGCGTGAACCACTGCACCCAACGTTCTATGGCTAGAACTCTTTTTT